ACCTACAATGGTCGACAGTAAATTTCCGCCGTGGTTCTTACAACCTTTTACCATTCTTGGCAGAAGTTCTATCATCATTGTGTTTTTTACTTTGGATAAATGTTGTGTAAAAAAGAGAATCTAAATGAAACATTTATATTATATTTTAAATCTCTCTCTCTCTCTCTCTCTATATATATATATATATATATATATATATATATATATATATAATTTATTTTACTAGTAATTTGTATGTATATTTTACCTTTTTTTTTTCTTACAATTTAGTTATACTTTGAATTTGATATGCATTTTTTTGTACTTTTAGTTGTAAATGCAACATATGTAACTTATCTTTCTATTTGTAAAATTAATTTTTATTTAATATAATTTTCTAATAATCTCCTGGTAGTTTTAGTAAAAACTTGTACAGATGCATTGGTATTTGGTTGCTATTTTTGACATTTTACATTGATTTGTTAGTGTTCTTAACATTTTATATGAAGAATTTTTATTCAAGAGTTGCATATTAATTTACTAAATAATTCTATATATTAATTTAAATTTAGTTTCTTAAAGAGGCCATTTATTTATCAACTACCAATATATTTATATATATATTATATATATATATATATATATATATATATATATATATATATATATATATATATATATATTTAAAAAAACTAGGTAATAAATGGGTAAACTTTTTAACGGATAAAATCCAGAGAGCTCAATGTAAATCCAAAAACAAATAATTTTTATAAAAACAGCCATTTAAGTTTCCATTTAATAAATTATTTTCACCATATAGGATCATCATATATTTTACTTAGGTTTGGAAGTAAAATCTGATGATCATTAAAAATATATATTTTTTTTTGTATGAATGATTCATGAATTTATAAATTAAAATTGCACCTTTAATTGAAATTAAAATAACTGATCCAACGTGCAACTTTCGGATAATAAGTGTGACATTCCTGTAATTATTGAACAATATAGTTCATGCCATTTGACGGAAAAACCTACCAGTAAAAAGAATTATTCTCTTTTTTTATTTGTAAAAAACGCACAACCTTAAAATTTAAAATTCAAACTCAGCGTTGCGACCGCACGTTCCAAAACAATAACACATTTCTCATAGCATTTTTTTCGGATTACATCTCTATTTTCGTTGTCCTCTTATTACCGAGAAGTAAAAAACAAGAACAAAATCTATTTCCATACCTGAGGATGTCTGTAGGAACAGACGAAAGCTTGTAAAAATTAAAAAACCTTATGCAACTGGAATTTATAAACAGGGATCATATCATTCATATACAGGTTCGGGGTTGGTGTATCTTATTTATATTGTTTGCGAAGATGTATTCTCGCCATTTAAATCATTAACCTCGATATTTGTTTTTTGTATGAATGATTCATGAATATATATATATATATATATATATATATATATATATATATATATATATAATTCAAAAATTTATATGTCCCATTATTATCTATTTAACCTTTTTATTTCTTAGTAATCTGCATTGTTTGGTGTGTTTATTTTATGTAACCATATATATCTGCTTTAAGTTTATGTCTGGCTGCCGTTAGCTGCCAATCTAAGGATCATGACAAATTTATAAAAAATAATTTTTAATTTTTTCTTCTTTGCTTCTTAATTTAAATTTAACGTAGGTCATATTTGATTCGTTGATCAGATTAAAGCCCCCAAATCGTTTAACCCCTTTTTTTCATTTTCGAAAAAAAAGGTTGTATTTTGTTTTAAAATCTAAATAAATCACTCACTCAGCAGTAATTTACAATCGCCTGATGAGGTGCATTGATATACATCGAAACAAGACTGCAATTGTGTAGCGATTTTGACATGTTTTTCGATGTAATATCTTAAAATAAATAATATTGCTCTTCTTTGCATTGAGTCCTATTTTTAAATTAAATGTTTACTAACGTTGGAATTGTAATCTTTTGGTTCTCACCGTATCTATCTATCTATCTATCTATCTATCTATCTATCTATCTCTCTCTCTCTCTCTCTCTATATATATATATATATATATATATATATATATATATGTCCTAATATTTTAATATCTATCTATCTATCTATCTATCTATCTATCTATCTATCTATCTATGTCTCAATATTTTAATATCTATCATTCTATATATATATATGTCTCAATATTTTAATATCTATCTATCTATCTATCTGTCTATGTCCTATATTTAATATCTATCTATCTATCTATCTATCTATCTATCTATCTATCTATGTCTCAATATTTTTAATATCTATCATTCTATATATATATATGTCTCCAATATTTTAATATCTATCTAATCTATCTATCTATCTATCTATCTCTCTATCTATCTATGTCCTAATATTTTAATATCTATCTATCAATCTATGTCTCAATATTTTTAATATCTATCATTCTATATATATATATATATATATATATTTGAAATATTTTAATATCTATCTATCTATCTTCTATCTATCTATTTTGTAATTTTGATCTATCTATCTATACATCTATTTATCTATGTATTATCTTTTTTAATATCTATCTATCTATCTATCTATCTATCTATCTATCTATCTATCTATCTATCTATCTTCGTAATTTTTTCTATCTATAATCTATCTATTTATCTCTGTTCTTATGTATCTATCTATCTATCTATCTATCTATCTATCTATCTATCTATCTATGTCTCATTATTTTTTTAATATCTATCATTCTATATATATATATATGTCTCAATATTTTAATATCTATCTATCTATCTATCTATCTATCTATCTATCTATCTATCTATCTATCTATGTTTGTAATTTTGGATCTATCTATCTATACATCTATCTATCTATGTCTCCATATTTTAATATCTATCTATCTATCTATCTATCTATCTATCTATCTATCTATCTATCTATCTATCTATCTATCTTTGTAATTTTGGATCTATCTATCTATACATCTATCTATCTATGTCTCCATATTTTAATATCTATCTATCTATCTATCTATCTATCTATCTATCTATCTATCTATCTATCTGTTGTGGATTCCGGGATGAAATCCGATACCAATAAATAACAAACGCCAAGAAGGAGTATAGGAAAAAATGTATTAATGTAATAATGCAAACTGGTAATGCAGTTTAGTAGTTCCAGGAATGCGGGTTAGTAGCAAAATATATATACAATCTTTGGTATTGACGTATCACTGTATGACTTCTTTCACTGAGTCTACGTGCTTGCTCACTGTGACTCTTTTTTACGTTATTTCGTTCTGCTCGTTCGTTCGCTCTTCGTTCTTCTCCCGGGTATTTACTAGCAGTAGTATATGTAGACCCTGGGTGAGTCCATTTTAGTGTAAAATGAACTAGAACTCCTCAAACTCTATCTATCTATCTATCTATCTATCTAACTGATATAATGGAATATTTTTAATTCTATGTTCCCCACTCACTGGAATTTGAGTTTAAGTCTATGACGACGCCCATTGGACTAGGCCATTGGTTATTCTATTGGTCTAATATATTAATTGGACTATGACGAGTACCAGTCGATTAATGCTACCGTAATAAATACTTGGGTTTCCGTAGCCAAAACAATGTTAGGATTTAAAATATTATATATATATATATATATTTATATATATATATATATATATATATATATATATATATATATATATATTTTTTAATTTTTTTTATGATTTTTTATTCATTTTTTTTTTATATTTTTTTAATATATTTTTTACATTTAAACCAAGGAAAGACGGAAAAATATTAAAACGTGTGGGACGTGTTTAAACGTCCCTTTTACTTCATTAGATCTATCTATCTATCTATCATCTATCTATCTATCATCTATCTTTTCATTGATCCTATCTAAATTATCTTTCTATCTTCAATCTTTCATAAATCTTTTTTTTCTAATCTATTTATCTATCTATCTATCTATCTATAATTCATCATCTATCAATCTATCTATCTATCTATCTATATATCTATCTATCTATCTATCTATCTCCCCAGCCTGTTGATTATCTTCTATGTATCTATCTATCTTATCTATATAAAATATCTATCTATCTATCTATCTATCTATCTAAGTAAAAAATTTATCTCCGGCGAAAATCGAACCATCGCTATATCCAATTTTTATAATTTATGCTGTCTATTAATTTAGTTTTTTATAAAAGCCTTTTAATCATATCTGGCTGAAAAATTTTTAAAAAATTAAAATTTTTAAAAAAATATAACTCTTTCGTTAACTCAAATATGGTTTATATCCATTTAAAATAACGGTGAAAGTGATAAAATATGTCGCAGTAATAAAAAAGAAAAATTCAAAATATATTTATTATATATATATATATATATATATATATATATATATATATATAAACATGTGTAGTGTATATTCTTTTAATTTTTGATCCTTGCAAAAAAATTCATAAATAATTTCTATATAATGTTTCACGGTAGATATAAAAAAAAAGACATGAGTTTACCATCGTTCATCCGGTTAAAAAATTACGTCATTTTTTTTCTACTGAAACCTTATATTTTCATTATATTCAAAGGGTTAATTATAACAGTTATTTTTTAGACATTTTTTTTAAATATTTGTTTTTTTTGACCTTTTCTTTGACTTTTTATTTTTTTTTAAATCAGTTCAACTAAAATAAAGAGATAATGGCACTGAAACACTAGGAGTTACAAAATAGAAATTTGAATGAAATACGTTAGAACTGAAAAATTTGAAAAATGCAATCCTAAACAGAACACAAGAGATAAACCCCGTATCCCTGTTCAAAAAAAGGCCATGGAAACCATGAAAAGGTCGATATAAAATCTGCTTTTTTTTTCCCCATAGTCAATCCGCTTTATAAAAGGACCTTTCTAATTTTTATTAAGGAAAAAAATGAATAAAAAATAACTTGTAATTTAAGTTTGAGTGTTTTCGTTTAGGACGTTAG